TGTGGCGGGCCGCTTTTATCAGTCACATGCTTTTTACTTCTCACTTTTTTTCAAAAATGTCGAACATGTGGGTGATGTGCCGAAAGCAGAACAAGCATCTTCGCAGATATGCACGAGAAGAAAATGACGGATAACATATTTATTTCAAGTGAGACTATATTATGTGGCCTTCAATTTATTTTGATCGTGTCCATGCACAGGGAGCTTCTGATTCAGTGTTACTGCGTAGTTCTTGCCTTCTCTCTTAGTCGTCCAGATTACCTTCCTTCATTTGGCACGTACATCCCCCACGCTGAAAAGCGCCAACAGAGTGTTCGTGCTAACAATGTCCGACAGTGCAAATACATTTTTGTATCAAGCTGCAAATTTTATAACTTTTTTAATGCCGTGAATTATAAAGGAAACGTCTTGGCATACCAATATTTTTGCTTCAGTGTCAGAAATGTTCGGATCTAGTACGTGCGAATTATTCGTGATAAATGCGCAGGAAAAAATTTTCTTGTTTCTGTCTGCTTCAAATTGTAACTAAACACTAGCGCCAGTTCTACCTCGAGTGTGCGTTATAATAAGTATGTGGTTCCGAACGCTTTTGTTCACGTGCCTCAAACACTCAACATTTTCACATCTTTATAGGTGTAAATGGCCTGTCCCATAACTAACACCTTTATAGGTGAAGCTATACATATTGGAAAAAATGTGTAAATCTTACAACCTTAAAACATTCTGTGATTTTTCTAACACATTTACTAAAAGGTGCGATACTGCAACACATCATTTTATAAAGGTGTAAAACCAAGGTACAACTCCTCATAAAGGTGTAATGACCACAGTACGTTTCTTGTTAAGTTGTACAAAGTGGCCGAGGTCCCAATAAAATTACTAAACAAATAAGCTACGCCGACGAGTCCCCGAAGCAGCACGGTGATAGTTCGCCAATGTTGTGGCAATGTGGGCCAAAGCCCGGCTCCAATATCGCCCGAAAGTGCAGTTTTGCACCAGGTCCCGGCATGTGGTAGATATTTGTGTACCGCTAGTATCGGCGGAATATCGTGCGAATATGGCTGTGGTCGGATTGTCGGCCAGGCATCGGTCAGATGTCTGTCTCATAGGCGTCTGCTCTGTATCGGCCGGATGTCGCCTATGCACCTGCTTTGTATGAAGCCTGCGAAAATACCCCAACAATCTACCACACCCATGTCACCACACACCACGCTCCCATTGGCCGAGATATTCTATCTCTTTTTTTATAGAGGGCCACAGAGGGGTCGCTGACGCACGTGCTCTGCCCACATTGTGATATGTAAAATGCCTCCGTTATTTCCCTCGTCCTTCTGCTGTGGTGTCGCAACATTATTGTTGTATCTTCAAACTTAGGGGCGCACCCACACCTGTCGGAATGAATTGCCAAGTGACCGGGAGGGGACGATCTCACAGATAATGCATGCTCCCTTAGTCTATTGTTGACGCATCTACCGGACTGTTCGACATACTGCCTACCACACGATAGCGGTATGCTATACACGATTCCCACTTCGCCACTCCGCCGTCTCATTCCGCATCATAGAGTCCGTCTGCTATGGTCAGTGCACCGACTTGACACAACAGAAAAAAAAACAATTTCATTAGACGTTTTGCCTCCCATGCGGGAGGCATCTTCAGTAGTTACAAAGCAAATGCAAGATTCAACCTCAAGTCAACACTATTTATCATGAATGTCCGTATAAGCTTTGTGGAGAGGGCCGCGGTTTTTGTTACACACGGATGTGTCCCTGTGTCCCTGTTACACACGGATGTGTCCTCTGTAAAGACTCGGGGCTTGTCCATGTAGTCGATCTCCGCTGGAGCCATTCGTCGCCCAGGACATCGGACAGAGTTGGTAGCGAGCCAGGGTGTCTCCCCTCAAACTGTTTATCTACATACTATGTACAGTCTGCCGTTCGGCATGAGAACAACGTGAGAACACACAGAGAGCGCGTAAAACCGCTCTTTTTATAAGGTCCCTTTTCCCTACGTCTCTAGGCCAGGACGCCGTTCCCCAACTGGTCAGGCACCGCCCACTCGCACGCACAAGCACACACAGAGGATAAGTGCTCTTCCGGTTCCTCAAGGCCTGTAGTGGCAGCAGTTTCTTCAGTGACGCTTGAGATTTGGCCTTGCTCCTGGATTTTAGGTCGAGGTGACATCGAGAAGCTCAACCCCAAACGTCCGGGCACCGCCTATGAGCATGCCCAAACGGACACAACGGACACACAGGTTAATCGTTTTGTTGACTCTAAGAGAGCACGAACGCCCGGAGGATACCGTCCCCCTCCTTAGTCAAGACGGAAAAGACCTTGGACGCCGATATCCGGGCAGTTCCGGTTCACGGCTTATCTTCCTCTTTCGGCTTAGCAGGGATCACCGTGGCCGTTGGTTCCTGCTTGGACGCCTCGGGGAGAACGCATTTCCGTTTCAGCACTTAACTTGAGCCGGTACCGACGACGGCTTGTCTTGCTCTTTTGTCGACGGTACCCAGGCAGCGGGGAAAATAATCCCGGCTTGAGATTGTCAGGGAAAGTCGCGTCCTCGGGAATGTTGGAAAAGGAGTGGCGTTCCGCGTCCAGGTGCGACCGCGAAGGTCGTTCGTTACAGCTCCTCCACGCAATGGCAGATCTTGGAAGGGGAGGAGTGTCAGCTGCTTTCCTGTAGAGGTCAGCTTCGAAATCGTTGTGAGCAGCCAACACATCAAGAGAGACACGAACCGCTACAACCAAATCCAGCGAGCGGCAGCACCCTCTTCCCAACCGCCAGGCCTTTTTCTGCGGCAATAAACCTATCACTTTTTTTGCCATTGACACCACCAGGAAAAGCCCGCCATAAGGCAACATTGCACAAAGCGAAATCGCTGACATGTGTGAAGATTACAGAAAGTGAAATAAAACGCAATGAAACTCTTAAAATTTGGCCCAACTCACAGGGCAACATCCAGAACAAATAATCTCAAAACAACCTGCTAAGTCCGTCTACGTTGGAGTTAGCCGCCCCCCTCTTGTACCTAAAGGGATTGTCCGGTCAAATTTTGTATTTGAGAAAACAATTGAATATCTTTGTTCTTGCCTCGAGACGTATTGGGCGTACAATATCTGAATTTTATACGACCCTCTGCATGAGTAATTGAATTTATACTGCTCCAATCGCACTCTAGCGTAAACGCTGTTTTCGGTGGCAACATGGGAGCTCTGACGTCACAAAACACAAAGCGAGACTTTCTGTCTCGTCGTTTACCCGCGAGTGAACGCCTCAGCGTGCTTCGTTCTTGTTGTTCTGCTCGACTTGTTTCGTGGTTGGGTGAGATTTTTGTTGCGCGGTTCGGTGCCACAACCACCAGGCAGCAAATGCGAGCCAAGATATGACGTTCCACACTTTTCCGCGAGACGTGCAGTGACGAGCAGAATGAATCGTCGCCGCGCGTAGGGACATGGGCTCCCGACAAGATCGAGATCCCGCTTATGCAGCAATCATCTCACAGAAGAGAGCTACGAGCTGAGCTCTAAGCGGACAGAAGGCTCGTAAGCTGACGTGTGATGCTGTGCCAACGATATTAAACTACGTCTATCCACTCCTCGCCCAAATCGGATCAATCAATTTGTCTATGCAGTGAAACCGAAACCAACAACTAGACCATCTGGAAACGATACCAGAAGTTGTCGAGAAGTTGTATTTAGCACGCGTGCAGCCAAATTCTGTTTGACACGCATGTGCAAATAGAGCGTGGCTACGATTCACCAAGCTCGTCCAAGTCAAGTGACGGTATGCATTTGAACGATTCGCCGGTTGTCTTCGACCCGCGGTCATTGCCTCTGAGGGAAAGACCCGCAGCCTCATCACCAATCCTGTGGATCCGCCGATATGTGTACCCACATACTGCTTCGTGTACCTACAGTTGCCGCTTCAGAGGCGAAATCTGCATCCTTTGCTTTGCAAGCGCTCCTAATTCAATCGGTGGCCGTCGCAGTTGTGTTTGCGCGGAACGGCATACGTTTGCTCAAAGCTTATGGCTGTTCTCGAGTAATGTCCTGCTAAAAGGCGTGACTTTTTTGGCACACGCTTGGGAACTTCAAAGTAAACAACCGTATTTCAGTTGTGGGGACCCTCTCCCTGGCTCCTCCGCGCTCCGTGACCTCGCCGGTCCCTGTCGCCGTGCTGCCGGGCGCTCCTTCGTTCCCCGTGACCTTCCCGTTTCACGTCGCCGTCCAGTCGCGGAAAGTCCGAGCTCTCCGGGAGGGATGGGGCAAGCGCCCCCTCACCCAGCGCTGACGTCGGAGGGTCGGTCGCAGCAAGGTTCCCGATTGGACGGTCGGCGGGACAAGGACTTGGGAAGGTCTTAAAAGGGGAACGAAGACAAAGGAAGGGGTCTTGGGCTGCCGACTTCGAAAGGGACCGGTCAAAGAGGTCATTGGGACGACAGCGACGAGCGGCTCGCAGACGACGTGAGTTTGAGTAAACTCTTTTGAACACGCACTGTGTCGGTGACTTCTTGGGGAGCGAGCGAGGCACGTCCCGATCGGGCGTCGATCAGGTAGCGACCCACATAATCTGGCGCCACGTGGGAGCCCGATCGGTTGGCCGTTGCTTTCGCTCCTCCCTGAGAGGTCGCGCACTTTGCGTTTTCGCGGATTTTGGAGGTTAGCGTGCTCGAATTTTGCGAATTGTGTTCGAGTTGGTAGAAAGTGACAATGGTCGACACCAGGTCGACCACCGGCGCGAGTAAAGACGGTTCGTCGGAGGACGAGCCTGGGCGAGATAGCGCGGGGGCTGCTCCGATTAGCGGAGACTCGGGCTCACGCGCGCCCCCGGAGACTGGGACTTCGCCCCCAGCTTCACCAGCGACGGAAGGCGTGCTAGACGCCGGTGAACTGATGCGCGCAATGACGCGGATGATGGACGCGATGTCGCGGCAGATGGGGACAGCCCCAAGCGTCGCGAGTGCCGCGCCTTTGCCGATGCCCCGCCCGCGGTTGAGCGTGCCTACGCCGACGTACTCGGGGTACTCCGACGGGAAATCGGTGCACGATTTCCTGCAGGATTTAGACGCGTACGTAACCGCTTTGGGGGCATCGGACGCAACAGCCCTGCTGCAGATCGTGCCGATTGCACTGACGGGCGACGCCGCGCGTTGGAGACGGCTGCAAACGCCGTTCCAATCAATGGCGGACTTCCGGGCGCGGTTTCGGGAGGAATTCCTTCCTCCCGACTACGAGATGCGGATTCGCGACGAGCTGGCGAGCCGCACTCAGCACCCGGATGAGAGCCTCGTGGAGTACGTCCGTGCACTCCAGGAGCTCTACTCGCGGGCCGAACCCTCCGCGCCTAACGCGGAGAAAGTAGCGAGGGCGATCCGCCAGTGCCACCCCAGATTTAAGGCGTATCTTCGAGGACGCGATTTCGCAGACCTCGAAGCACTGGCGAGAGAGGCGCGCACGGTTCAAGCGGGATTGCTCGCTGAGCTGCAGTATCGGCCCCCTCCAAGAGCCAAGGAGTCCTTGGAGCCGGGTTGCGCGTGGACGGGACGCGCCGCGGACGGTTACGTCGAGTCGCAGACGGCGTACGTGGCCGTCGCGGATCGCGGGAATGGCGGAGCCATTCCACCTCGGGCCCTCGACCCATTCGGCTTCGAGCAAAGGCGCAGGGTAGCCAGCGCACACTCAGCCGGGGCGCAACCCCGTAGGGGGGGCGGCGCGGTCGAATACCGCGGAGACGTGACGCGTTACGACGCTCGCGGCAGCGACAACAGCGCTCGGCGAGGCGGCGCGCCGCGTGCCGTTAGCGACAGATCAACTGTAGCACGCGACGACCGCGCCCAAGTCAGGTGCTTCAGGTGCCACCAGCCTGGGCACATCAGGCGGCAATGCACGTGGGCAGCGGCCGAATCCGGATACTCGGAAAACGCGCGGGGCCGGCGCCTGTAATCGGGTTGCCCGATTCAAGGTTGCCGGCCGCTGCCGAGGCCCCGGGTCAGTTCGCCGACGGGGCGGAAGTCGCGGGCAGCGATCGGGCAGCGTTCGCGCCGTCGGCATGTCGGGCTCAGGACTCGACACCTGAAAGGGGTCCGTACGTGCGGGTAGAGATCGGTGGTAAAGATTATCTAGCATTAGTCGACACCGGCTCAACCCTCTCTCTCATCGGAGACTCCGTGTACACGGACTGCCGCAAAAGAAACCTGTGCATGCGCGAAGTTGCAACTCCGTTGCGTTTAGCGGCAGGATCGGCCGAGGCGCAATGCGCAGTTCGCCTTCACCTCGGCCTCGACGGCAAGCGAAGGAGGCAGCGCTTTGTTTACCTGCCGGGCATGTCAATCCCAGTTATTTTTGGGACAGGACTTCGTTTGCCGAGAGGGGATCATTCTAGACCTAAAGAATAACGGGTACCACTACAACCCGCTGACCCCTCTCATCCCCTTTGTAGCCCCACCTAGTTTGGGGAAGGGATCGGAATGTTCGCTCGCTAGGCTGCGCGAGGAGCAGGTGTTAGCTGCGCGGGCCGTACCACATAACGTTGAACAGATCGTGGCTTCTTTCGACGGGCCGGCCGAACAAAGGCGATCGTTAGCGGACGCTTTGTCTAGACACGCAGCTTTGTTTACTGAGAGGCCGGGAGTCACGCATGTTTTACAACATGAGATAGATACGGGAGACGCTAGGCCGTGGGGTTGTAACCCCAGACCGCTGAGTGTGCACAAGCGAGCTCTCCTAGATAAGGCTCTCAATGAAATGTTGGACACGGGGGCCGTACGGCCGTCGCAAAGCCCGTGGGCATTTCCGGTAGTGCTAGCGCCGAAGAAAGACGGGAGAGCCCTTCTTTGCGTAGACTACCGCCGACTCAATGAGATGACCAAAAGGGACGCGTATCCTTTTCCATCTATTGAGTCCATCATGTACTCGCTGGGTAGCGCGAAGGTCTTTACCACGCTGGACTGCAGCAGAGGCTTCCTGCAGATCCAAGTAGCACCAGACGACGTCCAAAAGACAGCGTTCACTTGTCACAGGGGGTTGTTTGAGTTTACCCGCCTGCCGTTCGGATTATCGAATTCGCCGTCTAGTTTTCAGCGGCTGATGGACATCGTGCTGGGGGACGCGAAGTTTAACTTTGCCATGGCTTACATGGACGATGTCGTAGTATTCTCGAACTCGTTCGAAGAGCACCTAACTCATCTCGAGATCGTTCTGAGTAGAATGTGGGAGGCTGGGTTGACGATCAACCCAGATAAGGTACAGCTCGCAGCCTCGAGGGTTAATCTCTTAGGCTTTATCGTTGACAACGGTACGTTGAAGCCGAACGACGATAAGTTGGGGGCCATCCTCAATTATCCAGCGCCGCGTGACGTAAAGAGCCTTCAAAGGTTTCTAGGGATGGTCGGTTTTTATCGGCAGTTCATTCCGGGATGCGCGGAGCTAGCATAGCCATTGAACCAATTGCTGCGGAAAAACTCAAGGTGGATCTGGGGGAGGGAGCACGACGCGGCTTTCGCGTCTCTCGCGAAGGCAATAGCTGATACAGCGAGCTTACATTTACCAGTTCTAAACCGGCATTTCGTCGTACAGACGGACGCGAGCGACTACGGTGTCGGAGCGGTGTTGTTACAGGAGCACGATGGGCAGTTGCGCCCTGTGGCTTTCGCGAGCCCAACGCTTACACCGCCCGAGCGCAACTACAGCGTAACGGAGAAGGAGGGGCTGGCCGTCATGTTCGCTTTGAAAAAGTTCGATCTCTATCTAGACGGTACGACTTTTGTCATACAGACGGATCACGCTGCGCTAACATGGATCCAGAGGTTGAAGGAGCCAGCGGGAAGGCTGGCTCGCTGGGCTCTGACCCTGCAGCGCTACTCCTACACTGTCGAATACCGAAAGGGCTCGAGCAACAAGGTTGCGGACGCGCTCTCTCGGGCGCCCCAGGACGGTGGTCGGGAGGAGGAGACGCGACCGTTGGGGGGCGAAGATCGCGGGAGAGGAGGGAGAATACCTCCGTGCGCGGGGGAGATGCCCCCCGCGATCGCGGGAAAGCGAGAGAATGGCTGGGAGGAGGGGAAGCAGCCGGAGTTCGTAGCAGCGGTGGGTCACTCTACGAGGGAGCAAAGGATCGTGGCTTGGGGGGAAGTGGTAAGCAAGGCAGAGCTTTTCGAGGCCCAGGGAGCAGATGGATTTTGTCAGCGGGTGTTGGGAAAACTTGCGGAAATTGCGGTTGACACCGGGAACACTGACGAACGAATCGGCGCGCCGTTCGATTCGTATCTGCTGGGCGAAGATGGGTTATTGCTCCGCTATATCCCCGCGATCGACGAAGAGGAGGGGAACGACCCTCCCTTCAGGGTGGTGATTCCTAGGAAGCTACGCAGGAAGTTTATCAGATACTTCCACGACTCGGCTCTGGCCGGTCATGGCAGCGGCAGCAAGACTTTTCAAAAGTTATGTCGCGTCGCGACCTGGCCGGGAATGAGGCAGGACGTATTTCGGTACTGTCGTAGCTGTCCAGCTTGCCAGAAGGCGAAACCGAGAGGCGGGAAACCTCCGGGGTTGATGCAGCCGGTGAAGAGTCACTACCCGTGGGAGATAGTCGCGTGCGACATCGTTGGCCCGCTGCCGAGGAGTCCTCGGGGAAATCAGTACCTTTTGGTGGTCACTGACCATTTCTCGAAGTGGGTGGAGCTGTACCCCTTGAGAAAACTGGTCTCGGAGCGAATCTGGGAAAAGTTGTTAGACACTTTCCTGCGTTTCGGAACGCCCAAGTGTCTAGTGAGCGATAATGCTAGTTATTTCACTAGTAAAGTCTTCGTGGACTCCTGCTTGGCCCTCAATATTAAGCACAAGAGGACGACACCGTACCATCCTCAGGCCAATATCACTGAGAGAGTGAATCGCAACCTGAAGAGCATGCTGATCGCGCTGACGGAGAGACACCGGGACTGGGACGAACACATCGTCGAGATGGGTTTCGCCATTCGGACGTCAGTGAACCGATCAACCGGGTTTACACCAGCGTTCCTGAACCTGGGTAAGGAGCTCCCGTCTCCACTAGAGAACGGGTTAAGAAACAGCGACGGGGCATCGGGTCGCCCACTCTCTACGTACGCGGCCGGGCTCAAAAGCCGCTTGACGGGCGCGTTGCACGACGCTAGAGAGAACCTCGATGCCGCAAGGATCGAGCAGGCGGCGCAGTACGACAAGAACTATCGCCACCTGGAGTACAACGTCGGAGACCTGGTTCTGAGGAGAATGCACCCACTGAGTAATGCAGCTTGCGGATTCGCAGCATCGCTGGCTCCGAAGTGGGATGGGCCCTACGAGGTAAGTACGCGAGTGTCGCGGCTTACGTACAGACTCACTCGGCCGAACACAACCGAGGAGTCTGGCCCTGTTCACGTGACCGATTTAAAGGTGTACTACCTTCGCGACCAGGACGGCGATGGACGAGAAGCGGCTGATGAGGACGGGGAAAGCCCCGTCTCGGCCGGACGGCAGACGCAGTCCGGAGCACGGATGGAGCGCGCTGGCCGGACGGTGCATGACACTGTCGGCGAGCTCACTTCTAACAGGAGTTTCTGCCGTCACTACAATCTGCGGCGCAGGGTTTAATCCATTTCTGTGTTTTTAACTGAATTTCCTCCCCACAGAATGCCTTTCTGGAACGACGCCGGACGCCGAGCACGTGCCGGCGCTGGACGGGGACGACCCCTCCCAGGAGGCCCGCCAGGCCAGAACGGGGGCGCTAATGCTCCCCCAAGTACCCGGGGTGGGCGCCCCGGGTCGAGGCGGCCCGACTCCCGAGGTCGGCGACCATGGAGGTGGCCCCACGATCGGGCGTCGGACGCTGGGTCCGGACAGCGCCAGGCGGGCTCCGCGGATTCCGCGAGCCACCGCGCTGGCACACTGCAGAGTGGGTCGGGCCCGCCTGCGCGGGGAGGACCAGGCTCGAGCAGGCCTCTTCGACCCGCACGACTTCCTTCCAGGAGAAGAGAGGGACCGTCACCGCAGGGGGGACGGGCCTGGAGCCGGCGGCCATGCCACACCGTGGCAACCTGGACGACATGGGACGGGCAGCGGGACCTCCATTTCGTGTCCCGCCAGCGTTGGCGGGACCAGCCGAGACCGGTCCACGACACGCCCGGTGTCGAGGTCCCGCCGCCCTTCCTGGGGCACACGCTGCCCGCCTTCGAGTTGGCCCCGGACCTGCAGGACCCCTGCTGGCTCTGCCGGGTGCCGGTGGTTCACCGCGAGACCCACGAGGCCAGCCCACGCCACCAGGAGCTGCTGAGGGCGGTGGGCCCCCCCACGTGCGTCGAGGCGGCGCTGCGGCTCCTCCAGAGGGACCGGCCCGACCTCCTGGCCCCGGCGGCCCGGGAGCTTCCTGAGGAGGGGGCCACCTCTGCAGCCTCCACCGCCGCTGCCTCTACCGCCGCGACCGCCGCCACCGCGGTCTCGGACACGCTGCCGCCCCCGCTGGCGCCACTCGCCTGCCCGGCCGAACCCCTCCCGCCTCCGCCTCCGCCCGCCGAGGACACGGTGATGGCGGAGCTGGAGGAGTTCCTGGCCGGGGACCGTCCACCCTTCGCCGACTCAGGCCCCCCGGGGTCCGAGCCTTGAGGGAGGGGAGGTGTGGGGACCCTCTCCCTGGCTCCTCCGCGCTCCGTGACCTCGCCGGTCCCTGTCGCCGTGCTGCCGGGCGCTCCTTCGTTCCCCGTGACCTTCCCGTTTCACGTCGCCGTCCAGTCGCGGAAAGTCCGAGCTCTCCGGGAGGGATGGGGCAAGCGCCCCCTCACCCAGCGCTGACGTCGGAGGGTCGGTCGCAGCAAGGTTCCCGATTGGACGGTCGGCGGGACAAGGACTTGGGAAGGTCTTAAAAGGGGAACGAAGACAAAGGAAGGGGTCTTGGGCTGCCGACTTCGAAAGGGACCGGTCAAAGAGGTCATTGG